AGCAATAAAATAATACTTATATTTATCGTGAGCAATAAAATAATACTGAATAGATTGATAGTTTGCCCCGGGGGGGGGGGGGTTTAGAGAACGTGGTATTTAGTCAAAGTACACCACTGGATCATCATTAACAGGTGTTCAGTAATAGATTTTGCCTGTTTTGTTCCAATTCTTTAAAGGCGCCGTTAACACACCTGTCGCCAGCCTCGTCTGTTGGGCTGTACCGTAAACTACAACTTAACATTTTACTTAGTAATTAATGAGTCACAAATCATCACAAGGGACCGCGAGCAGTGGCGTCATGTAGGGTCTCTAATCAATATGTTTACGCCATTATAGTACATAGGTCCTAATCTATTTAAGTACAGTAGCTCAGAATGAACAGCGCTCTGATATCACTTTGCGACACCCGTAGCCTCAGAATGAACAGCGCTCTGATATCACTTTGCGACACACGTAGCCTCAGAATGAACAGCGCTGTGATATCACTTTGCGACACACGTAGCCTCAGAATTGAACAGCGCTCTGATATCACTTTGTGACACCTTTTCTCGACTTAAGGATCGCATACGCTCAATTGGGAATTTCGTAGTAGGCCAAAAATATTAAATATTTCTAAATTCCTCCCATTCGTAAACTGGAAAAACAAGACATCGCGGAAGTTTTCTCTCAGCGATGCCTTGGTAAGCAGTGATATAATCCTAAATTTCGTAGAGCAGTGGCGTCACCAAGCTTGGTGTCATCTGGTGCAGTAAATTCATGATTTACCTCCCCGCTCCCCCACGGATTCCCCGCTAATATGTTTCCTTCGAGGCCTCCTTACTTGACCATTCATTATAGTCTAAAATTCAGCATAAGAATGTTTGTAATTGAACTTCTAAAGTTACATAGGTTAAAATATTTATTTAAAATAACTCAAACATAATTAAAATTTACCGTTAAGACTCTCCTTGTCCAGCGAATTAATAGAAAGCAACATCTTTCATCCTATTTCTTCCAGTTAATAAAATCACAAAAAACAAAACAAAACAGAAAGCCTTGACTCTCGAGAATTCCAGACACTGTGGCAGCAGTATCATAATCTTGAACTCTTGACAAGTCCATAAATTAACTGTACTATCTTCTCCCCCCCCCCTGAACTTTTTTTTTCATGAAAATAGTGAAACTCTTCTCTCATTTCAACTTCCCCATTGAGGATATCCAAATACAGCCCTGGACACACGTCATTGGACTGACCATTACGACCACCAGCTTTCAATAGTGAGTCCACTTTCGTTGTCAGCAATACTCGAGTGCCATGTCATGTGATACGGATTCTGCTTTAAGGCACCAGGGCCTTTAATTTTTTTATAGTTATATTTAATACAATTTTTTAAGTGCACATTGGTGATCAATTATTTCATTTACAAACTTAGCAACAGACCTCTCATACACTGTTGTTTTATTTTACCATCAGATTAATTATAATATTGGTTAGACGGCCAGGGTTGGGAATCGAACCTGAACCAACCCTTCTGATGACGGAGCCAGTTTTTCTTTAAGACCATTTCCTCGGGTGGGCAGTACAGGTGGCGAGACTAAACAAGGCAGAGGGTGTAGATGTCCCCGGCAGCCAGACTAGCGGGGACGCCATCATGGGCTTTGATTATTTAAAATAACTCAAACAGTATTATTTACTGGATGAAAATAATGGGTTTCAGAGTTTGGGGGGGGGGGGGGGGGGCGGGTAAAAAATGAAATTTGTTTCCCTTCCCTTTTCTTTATATGGATTGGCAGCATTATCAGCAAACTGCAGAGCTTGTATCGTGAAAGGGAGTGTGGCAAAAATCTTGATCCGCCCATGACAGCACTAATACTAGCTACGCCACTAGGAAGTATATCTATCGGCACCTGACAAACAATCTGCAGAAGCGGCACTGAGCACGAAACTCTTGACCGGCCGTTCACAAGGAACAGCGTCCCCAGCCCCGGTCTCTTTTCATAAGGGCAGCGGACTAGTCCTGGGGAAAATAATATGTGGGAACCCAGCCAAGATCCCCCCACCCTGAAATAAATATGTATATATTTCTTATAGAAGAAAATGGCAGGAACGCCGTTCCCATGCGTTCCCAAACGACCTGAACCCTGGGAGCGGGAGTTATTTCGGATAGAGTGCGGGGTTGTTTGCAACGCTATCTAGCCCTATATTCAATATATCACTATATCTAACCCCATATTTATAAGGCTTATACCAAACCTCTTATATAACGCTATATCTAACCCCATACATAACGCTATATCTAACCCCATTTATAACGCTATATCTAACCATATATATTATCTAACTCTATTTAATAACAAGAGGGGATCAGAAAATGGCGTCTTTTAACAATTTACATGAGGCACTGAGAGTGGGGTGGTGAACACGGTTTGGGCTGTTCACATCACATATTATATAACACAAAATAGGACTTTTTTTTCCACCCATCTCATATAACGTAATATACAATTTTTATTGACCTCAAGCCCCACTAATATTTATAAAACATCTATAGCACCCCAAACCCATAAACCAAATAAGGTAAAAAATAAGCCGAAAGGAGCAAATTGCACACAAAAAGCATTATATATATATATATATATTTATGCTATAATGTGTTAATTGTTTGCACACTGCACATGTCTTAATGTTATGCACACTTTTGCATAACATTAAGACATGTGCAGTGTGCATAAAATTAAGACGTGCAGTGTGCATAAAATTGAGATATGTGCAGTGTGCATAACATTAAGACATGTGCAGTTTGCTTAAAATTGAGATATGTGCAGTGTGCATAAAATTGAGATACGTGCAATGTGCATAAAATTCGTTTAAAACTACGCCCCCCCTCCCCCAACAGTGTCCAACAACACTGATCCGGGCCCTTGTTTAAAATGTTTGAAGACCCCTGCTCTAGACCACCTCAAACCCATAAACTTTAAACCAGTGGTTCTTAACCTTTTTGGAGGTACCGAACCCAACCAGTTTCATATGCGCATTCACCGAACCCTTCTTAACAGGAAAAATAAAATATGATTTTTTTGGACCCCCGCAGAGCCCCTGAGACTGACTCACCGAACCCCTGGGGTTCGATCGAACCCAGGTTAAGAACCACTCCTTTAAACGCAAAATAACAAAATGATAAGTTCTCGTTATAGGTCCCTTTGGTTAAAATAAAAAAAAAATCATTTATTTTTTTAATGTCGTCATTTCATCTAAAATGCCTGGACCTACTGGCTAAAACCATGTCCACTGTTTACTAGTGCAGTCTAAAATGCCTAGACCTACTGGCTAAAACCATGTCCACTGTTTACTAGTGCAGTCTAAAAAGCCTGGACCTACTGGCTAAAACCATGTCCACCGTTTACTAGTGCAGTCTGATATATTTAGGTTGACTTCACAAGTCGCTTGACTCTAACAATCGGGTTAAAATCAATACAGCCAAGACCTGAGGTGTATTTTACGATACATTTATGGCAATATGTAACGAACAAATATTTATATAAAAAAAACCCAACAAAAACAACTATTATTACATATATAACATATAAAGAAGGAAGATTTTGTTTGTTTGTTTGTTCCACATTGCAAAGAGAGTTGAGTTAACAAAACCGGAGGGAGAAGGCAATGGGTGATCGTCATCGGAGATAACATTAACGGTGGAGTTTAAATGTTTAGTTAAGTGGTATCAAGTTTAAGCTTAAGCGCCGCAGGGGCCACGTCTCGGATAGTGGGCCGGTCATTAGGTGACACACTGAACGTGATCACGTCTCGGATAGTGGGCCGGTCATTAGGTGACACACTGAACGTGATCACGTCTCTGATAGTGGGCCGGTCATTAGGTGACACACTGAACGTGATCACGTCTCTGATAGTAGGCAGATCATTAGGTGACACACTGAACGTGATCACGTCTCTGGTAGTAGGCTGGTCATTAGGTGACACACTGATCGTGATCACGTCTCTGGTAGTAGGCTGGTCATTAGGTGACACACTGAACGTGATCACGTCTCTGATAGTAGGCTGGTCATTAGGTGACACACTGATCGTGATTTAAAATTCACGACTTTTGAGTTACTGCATAGTTCCAGTTTAAATTTGTGACGATGTATCTAAAACCTGAATCTAACATTGGCAATCTGATGTAGAATCAAATATCAAAAAAATAAATAAATAGCAAGTCTTACTTAAAAGTTCAAAGTTAAAGGTGAGAAGTTTCATTATCGATTTGTATATCACTGCCGTCTCATTTGTTAGCAGTGGAGCTTTATTACCACGCGCCATGTGACACACATTTCTAATTCTTCCAATAAAAAGGCTAAACGTGACTTCAGCACCCAGGGGAGGGAAAGATCACTACAAACACGTGTCAAGTGGAAGTAATCCCACACCTTAACGTTTGTGAAAAGGGGGAGCAATTCATCTTTATACCCTTAAAATTCAGGAGACCAAATTCTGCCACTGTAATCCCCACAAAGGGGGCACATTTATTTATTACGAGACTCAACACTTACTATAAATAGTATAAAGCAGAGGTCTGTAAACGGGGGTTCACCAGTTACTGAACCTAAACATGGATTTTTCATATAAAGAATGATATGACTTCTGTTCCACACACTTTTTAAAGATTCTTTAATTAATCAGAATACTAAGTAAAAAAAAAAAAAAAAAAAAAAAAAATACAAAAAAAAAAAGAAAAAAATAAAAAAAAAAAAAAAACAAAAAAAAAAAAAAAAAACTTGTCTTGTGTTATGATTGCTTTACTGCCAAAACATATGGAATCGTACACAGGATTTCTGGCACAGGGTACNGGGGGGGGGGGGAGGAGGGAAAGAAATTATCCCTCTAACTAAGCTGTCTGCACATTCTCACAATTTACTGCAACAGTGATTCTCACACTTTACTGCAACAGTCATTCCCACATCTTACTGCAACAGTGATTCTCACACCTTACTGCAACAGTGATTCTCACACCTTACTGCAACAGTGATTCTCACACCTTACTGCAACAGTGATTATCACACCTTACGGCAGCAGTCATTCTCACACCTTACTGCAACAGTGATTATCACACCTTACTGCAACAGTGATTCACAAACCTTACTGCAACAGTCATTCTCACACCTTACAGCAACAGTCATTCTCACACCTTACTGCACCAGTCATTCTCACACCTTACTGCAACAGTCATTCTCACACCTTACTGCAACAGTCATCCTCACACCTTACTGCAACCGTCATTCTCACACCTTACTGTAACCATCATCCTCACACCTTACTGCAACCGTCATCCTAACTCCTTACTGCAACAGTCATTCTCACACCTTACTGCAACAGTGTAAGAAAGAAATTTAGTTATGCACACAACTTTTGCTTATCAGAGTTATTTTCATTAGGGGATCTTACCATAGATCAGTGTTTCCCAAATGCTGAGGCGCGACCCTGTTGTGGGCCATAAAGTCTTAGGTGATTGCTTTGGAGATGAGGTGCATTTTTTTCTCTAGGGAACCTTAAAATTTATGGCAATATTGAATAGGGACTAGTGAGGCCAATGCTCTGTTTCTTTAGTTGCTGCCATTGAACCCCAAAATTGTTTCCTAAGCTAGTGAAAATATCACAACAGATTTTTTTTGGGCACACAAAATAACAATCATGGGAACAAAACATGTGGAAATTCAGGGGTGCTCCTTCAATGGAAAAAATATGATACCTTTAAGACTTATAATAGGATACAGTAATAAACCATTATTTATTGAATGAACCAAAAAAAGAACCCTGATTGCTGATTAGCAATATGAATACAGTAAGTAGTAGGATTATAATAATATTAATAAGTTATAAATCAATTATAGACATAAAGCTTTATAATTTTAGGGCAGATCTAGCTTTGTTTCAGTTGTTGAACGATCCATGATCAAGAAATTGTGGAGAAATAAATATCAATAATAACATAACATGAGACAAAGGAGGTCTGCAGTGACAATGGAGGTCTGCAGTGACAATGGAGGTCTGCAGTGACAATGGGGGTCTGCAGTGACAATGGAGGTCTGCTGTCACAATGGAGGTTTTCTGTGACAATGTTGACAATGAAAGTCTTCTGTGACAATGGATGTCTGCAATGGCAATGGAGGTCTGCTGTGACAATGGAGGTCTGCTGTCACAATGGAGGTTTTCTGTGACAATGAAGGTCTTCTGTGACAATTGAGGTCTGCAGTGACAATGGAGGTCTGCAGTAACAATGGATATCTGCAGTGACAATGGAGGTCTGCAGAGACAATACAATGGAGGTCTGCAGTGACAATGGAGGTCTGCAGTGACAATGGAGGTCTGCAGTGACAATGGAGGTCAGCAGTAACAATGGATTCTGCAGAGACAACGGAGGCCGTCGGTAAAAGACGTCAATGAAATATAAGGGGAGCATAAAAAGGGAGGCAATCTTTGGCAAGAGTGAACAGGTGGTAGGTGGTGTATGTGTCTAAACAAAAATTGATATTTGGAATGCCATGTTTAATATAATATTACATACATCCAGAGGTGGAACTACTTGGGGTTATGGAGAGTTTGCTACTTGAGCATGTGTACTGCTCTGTCAAAGAAGATGAAAATAATAATAAATTAAACCTGAAAAAAAAAACCAATTTAAAAAAATCAATCATTGCATACTGATATATTCTGAACACTAATGGATTCAATTTATTGATATTTGAAATTCTCTTCTTTAGACAAGTTGAATGGGTGATTTTCTAACTTTGACCACTGTAAGAATACATCATAATGCAACAAAATTAAGCACATTATCCAGACTCTCCTACATCATCAAAATAATACTACAATACTGGAAGTAAAAATTTAGTAATTTGTGCCCAAATATAGTTGAAATCTCATTAGATTTCATTGTTTTGACCCTATTTTCTGACATGTAAGTAGCTTAGTTTTAGGATTTTCATTATAAATGAATATAAATCTGAGCTTATTTCAGACAACCTGTGTGCTTTGTTAAGAAGGTAATTTTTATAATTAATTAATCTGAAAAATGACATTAGAAGGCAAATGAAACAATTTACAAAGAGGTTAAATACATATGTTTATATTGTATAACTTATGGACATTACAAAAATGCTTAAATGTAATGTTTCATTAAACCCATCTCTTTGATGAAACCAAAGTAAGATTAAAATGTAAGGGTAAAGTAAACATGGAAAAATTTGTAAATTACAAAGTCTGAAAAATGCAATAGCAACTTTTCATCTTTAATGTTTTGATTTACTCATAGTCAGGATTAAGGCACCCTTGAGCTTAGATCAAGAAATTATCACAATTTAACTTCTCAGAAGTTGATAAGACATTTATAAATCTCACTGCTCTGAGACATATGAAGATGTTTCTTTGAAGCAATTTGTTCACAGAAGAACAGCGAGGATCTGCTCCTACATTCTGATACGGAATGAGCTGGTGAAGATAAAAAAAATTGGCAGTTCTTTCCAGCATTGAAAATATAAAATACATATTTGTCACCTTTAATATTTCAATGTATTTATGTACATTATAATCTACTATATGAAGCTCAGAGTGACTACGTTTGTTGGTTAATGGATGGATTAATCACAAGAAAACTGAACAAGTGATCTCAAGCAAATTTGACATGGTCTTTCCTGGATAGTTTGCTCATAATTCCAAATACAAGCTGCTATGTAAATTGTTGTATCTAGGCAAAACTGGGTTAACATACCTTTCATAATCTCTTTAAAATACTGGCTGATTTTAAACTAATAAAATACAACATACACATCTTTTTCTGGGGGGGGGGGGGGGGGGGGGCGGCAATTTTATTTTTAACATAACTTTTTTTTTGACGTTAATCATACGATTTTAATAGGACATCTTTAAAAATAAAGTTTGTTCATTATCCAACCTAAAATATCCACTGCTGTAAAGTAATAACTATTAAGTTCCTTTGGTGCCGAGGACCCAAACAGCAAAAATTTAAAAGGCAACATCAGTGGAAATTCTTTCTCATTTTAATGGAATAAATTAAAAAAATTAACTTTAATATTTATCTGAATTATTTTTAGTTTGCCTCTATCTTAGGGATAATATAAATGGCACCTTTTGGAGTGGGGATCCTAACTTATTTTAATTTATAAACAGCTATAACTTTGGCATTCATGAATACTTTTTTTTAACACGTCATCTTATAAAAGTTAGATTTGTCTTTAAATTATAGTTTTTGGCTGCGCCCAGCTTGAATAACTGAAATGGGATGGGCCCCAGATGAAATGTTTACAAGAGTTATTTTCAAGCTGGCTTTTAATAGGTGAAAATGTTTCATCTTCATTGGTAATATAACAAAGTGTTTTTAACAGGGCCCGAAATTTACATGTATGCTGATAACACTTAAGAATTTTTTCTAAATGCAAACTCCAGCAAAGCTGGGTATTTTGGTTAAATATAATCCTGATGTTTCCAAAAACAAAATCTCCAATGATTCATTTATGTGAACTCAATCTGTCAAGCATGTTTACATAACATGGACTATTACAGCTAAGTGTACTGTTTTTTCCTTGCAGCAAATTACTTCTTCACACTCCAAATTGAAACCAAATTGCTAGTTCAAGAATGTTTACATGAAACTAAATTTTCTCAAACTGTGAAGAAATCATTCCTTACTTGACAAAATCAGGAGCCTTAGAGATAACATGCTCAAACTCAGCAAACGACAGGGTTTTATCATCATCCAAATCAGCTTCATCCATTATCTGTGATTTAAAACAGGGAAAATAAATGCTTGATAAGAATAATCCAGACTCAATACAGGCAAAAAACTATTTTAAAAATGACTATACATGTATTACGATTATAGGTCACACCCTTAGTTTGGGGTTATCAAAGTCGGTATTTGCTGTTGACCTGTAGATATGTCACACCCTTAGTTAGGGAAGTTTTTTAGGCACTTTATGAATATAAATCTATCATTTGTTCAACAGATGCCACAAAATGTTTGCCATAACAACTTGAAAACTGAAATAATCATCATAAACTATCATAGTCTTTAATAAACATAAAAAAACAGCTTTCCCTCCCCTCGAGCTTAAGTGAGATCAAGGGAGAACACAACTCTTTGACTTTTAATGAAAATGAATTCTCTACACTGAATAACAGTAAGTCAAATAGATAACAAGGGGACAGGTTGGTAAAAAAAAAAGGGTCACCTATATGCGCCTATATTCGGTAAGTACAAAACCAAATCATTTAAATTACTATAAATAAAATGAAAAACATAAACTCTTACATTGTCAATCAGTTGTTGCAACTCATCTTCTGTCAGCCTGTTGCTCCCAATTAAACTCTCTATAACCTGCTTCAGATCAGATTCAGATATCAAGTCATCACCATCAAAATCTGGAACAAAGTGGGAATGATAACATTTTGGAATCATATCTTACAATGGGAATGGCTTGGAGGAATGACAGAGCAAAATGGAGAGAGATGCTTGACAGCCTATTCCCCATGGGGCGCTATAAGATGAAAAACTAATTTGCAAGAGTTTTTTTTTCTCTTCAAATATCTATAATATACAACCATACTTCATTATTTTCAATCTCATTTCACATGTTTTGACTATAATTCAGTCTTCATTGAATAGCCTCATCACCCCATGCATAGCTGTGAAACACATTTTCAGTTTTATTGACAGAATGTATTCTTAGTTATAATTATAGTCATGGGAGCAAAGAAAGAGGATATTGCTGCTCCTGAGGATTCTCAAAGAGAATTTTGAGCTGTATAATTATTTAACTAAAAAGAAAGTTCAATTATGGTGAAATTACATGTGTCTGGAAATGTGTGTCTACTGTTGCTAAAAGACAAAATAACCTTTGGTCTAAACCCATAAAGAACCACTGAAAGGAACAGCTAGGAGTAAAGACACCGGGTGACCATATAACCAATCAATGACTATTTAAGAATTATTTAAAGGAGATAATGCAAATGGCTGTCGTGTCGTGCTCAAGCACAGGAGCCGAGTTTCAGTTATGTTTACACAATAAACTTTTAAAACACTAACATAAAAAAGTTTAGGGAGGAAAAGTTTGTGTGTGACATGTACACATGACAGTCAAAATGTCAGTTTATTGGTCCTCTCGGCGGACTCCTTTAAATAATTTTCTCTTCTGGCTCTGCCGTCTATGGTGACAACTGTCAAGGCGTTAGAATCCCTGAGCCTGTGTGTAGTTTGAGGATGATTCTTTGTTATAAATAAGAGCTGAGAGTTAGTGTGCATGAATGAGATACAATTATCAAAAGGGTATACTTAAGGGACAGGAGTGCAGGGGGAGAGCAAGTGAGTAGGAATGCTGAACGTGGTTGTAGTTTTGCCAGTGATCCCATTTAGTATATATAGTTAGCAGAACTCATATTACTAATGGGAGAACCTGGGCTAGAATAGTGTTTTAATATACCATTGTTTATTGGTGAAAATGATAATATAAATACCTCTAGGCAGCGATAACACCCAGACACTAAAGCAATTCTTGAAAACAACATTATACAGAATGCTACCATCAGTCTTGCCAACAAAATACTAAAAGTCACAACAGTATTTTTAATTACTTAACTTACTCTTGATACTGTCAGAGACATCAATTTAATACTGTACACAAATCACAATCCATATTACAAATGGTTACTATATCACTTGATTTTCACCAGTCAATAAATATCATCCACATTCAAGAAAACAGCTCAACTATTTTACATGAGGCCTCTCAAAATCCACTGATGCGCACTAACAACAAGGAACTACCCATTTCTGGGCTGCTTCTGGTTAGAACTTCTGGCCAACTCTCAGAACCCAACATCAACATGTGTGCTACTCTTTCGAGCTCACACATTATAGTTAATTGTTATTCCCCATTCAACCAATGACAAACTGACATAATAATGCACTCAGCCTCACACACCAACAAGTTCACACAAAACACAATGTTCTCATCCCACAACAATGATCACTATCTCACATAAACTCTCCCCAAACTTTAAAAAAAAATTTATATAAATGGGTGAGAAAAGGAGAGGGGGGAAGGGGTTGGTTTTCTTAATGTACTAGGGAAACTTGAAATTACTATTAATTGCTTGAAAATAATTAAAGGAGCAGATTAATTTTTAAATTCGAGGTGCCAAGATTATGTCATAATTAAAAAATTTTCTTTCATGATTTCAGCTTATAAATATTTCTACCACCTACCATAAACCCGAAATGCATATTCCACTTTCACATTCTTAGGTGCACCATCACTGAACACTGACATCATGTCGAGAAAATCTTCAAATGTCATGCCATCTCCTGATGAGGAAAACACTTTACAAATCTGATCTCTGAAAGGGTTCACCTGCGAAAAATATCAATTTATAAAAAAACTAATGGAAATAAATAACTTGAGAAGATAAATTCAAATGTTCAAAATTTTCATTACACTTCTGCACATCATGAAAGAAGTGTGGTTGCTTGTTCCCATTACTTCAAACATACAATATTATAATCAACATAGTTCTTTAATTGCATATCATTAAACACAAACAAAGTGACGGCACATAATCATAAAATTCATTACCGCATGTGTCTGATAGGAATGCAACAAAGAATTCAGTTTCTAAATAAATGAACCTTCACTTGATAATTGTATAACCTGCTTTCAACCATTGTGCTGAACTCAAATACATCAATATAATTGTAAAAATGTGTGGGGTTGAAAATCCTTCCTTCCTCAAAGGCTCTCACATTAATGGACATTTACTGAACAACGTTTACATAAGTCTATAAGCCTTTAGAGGAATTTTCTTGCGTTCCAAAAAGTACCTGGTCAGGTTTTAACTAAAGAAAATTGTTGAGCTTCTAGAAATGTTTTCAAAAGTTTCTAGAAAGTTCTAGAAATTTCCATTGACAATGTATGTATGTATCTATAAATTGTTGGGAATTTCTCAAAATATTGTTTAAGGTTATGCTTGAAAATTCTAGAATGTTTGAGAGATGGTTGAAATGATAATCTAGAACATTTTGATAATGTTCTTATCTTTCAATAAGGTCATATATTGGTCTGTAAATAGGAATTATAGAATGTGTTAATATTGTGTCAGAATCTAACAGGAGGGCAAATGGCTTGGTCAGTTTTTGTTTAAACTTTTTGTTACAGATGACGACGACGCGATGTCACAATCACCCACTTTCAATTAACAAGGACATCACAATGTTATCATAACAAAGCGGCAAAGAACTTTTCTGAAATACCAAAGACGTCATATTTAAATGCTATATATTTCTTTATTCATTAATCTATAGAGAAGTTAATAAGCAAATCGGATAGAGAATGAAAAAAACAACAAAGTTCCTTATTGCTGAGTCAGCAAAAATCGATGCCCAAAACCAGCAGTGATGAAAGGGTTAATAAATTATTTTTAACAAATTTTTGTGTGTGTGCATATTGGTAAATGTGGTAGTAAAATAAAATAAACATTACACATTTAAAAATTGGGAAGCTCTGGGTAAATTTGCTTGTGATACATAATTTCTTAACAGTAAAGAATCTTTAAAACATACTTTGAGCTCTGGAAGCTCCCTAATCTTCTCCATTGGAAGTCTGGCATTTTTATCAGCTTCAACAGAAGCTGGGTCAAGTGCTTTGAAACGTTTGTGAACACTGAAAGAAAAGAAATATTTGTTAACTCTTATAGAAAACATTTCATTCTCCACTGGTGTGTCATAAAGGTACATGTATAGTTCATTCCTATTTAAAACAAGGAAAATGAATGCTTGATAAACCCTAAAATCACAAGACAGGCCCTAAATAGGAATCCTCAAGGTACCAGGAAAAGAGGAAGACCAAGCGTCACATGGAAGAGGGGATTAGAGGTAGAGGTGAAGGGAATGAAGAAAATTTGGGCCGAACTAGCAAAGGTAGTCCAGAACAGGGACAAATGGAAAAGTATTGTGGATGGCCTATGTTCCATTGGGACTGAGAAAGGCTAAGAAGAAGATATTTCAAAGTAATATTAACATTTTTCCAAAAATTAATTTTTCCACATTAAAAATATGAATAGCACTGGTAGTAAAGCCAGATTATCATTGCACAATTTCCATCAAAATATAAATTAACATAGTACCTATAAACAACAAAACAATGATAAAATCTATTGCCATTAGTTTGCAAATGTAATTTATGACCTTGGGAAATACCATGACATATTAAACCACTTTCTGATTTGCATTCAGATCTCATGATGTTATTTTTTGAATGTCTTTAAAAATTGTTAATGGCTGTGGGACAAACCAACTTTATTCAACTATTAGTATTAGCACATCCATATTAAATCATTTTTAATTCAAACAGGAACCTGGTGGGAACATCTTGTCAGCCCAAATATTCTTTGGGAGGAGGAAACTCTGAGTAAAAACATCTAACTAAGAGGTGCAACTGATGCTAAACTGGCCCAGAATAAAAATCATCTGACTACATTCTCAAACATTGTTATACAGTTAACAGTATCAACCATGATGGAAACAACAAGTCAACATTTGTGGTCACAAGCCACAGTGTGTATTTAGCTCTGGGGTTTGCTACCAAAATTTAAAACAAATGTCAGTTGTCTCAAAAATATAATGCAGCCATTGTTCTGTTAAGTTCAAGAATAACTAGTAACAGTGCATAACTATCCAGGTAGCACAAGCAACAGTATTTTATTTTTGTATAACATTTTGTTTACATTTACATGCAAACCATTTCCTACCGATTTCATCTAAATAAAAAATCACTTATATTTTTGTTTACTTACAGCAGAATCTCTTTCTTTGATAAATATGTCAGAGTCTGAGAAAAAGAGAATATAAGAGGTTTCTAAATTCACTTTACTATATTATAATAATTAGCTCTAGAATGGAATTCAAATAGTATGTTTATTTTACTATTAAGGCAAAATTGCAGACTAAGCCTGTAGTCACTATAGACTTTTTTTCAAATTTAAGTAGTTCTTTTAAGATAAAAGTAAAAATGATGCAGTGTGCCTAGATTTCATTTAAATGGGCCAACAGATCTGGTATTTTTTCAGAAACAAGAGATGTTTTGCTATTAAAATTAGTATTATATGAAGTAGCAAGGATTATTTTGGCAATAAAACTAGAAGCCTGCACTGTTTTCCTCATTTGCAATACATGAAGAACCTACTTTTAGAATTGATATGTTCTTATTTAACCCTATGGAGACTAAGCCTTTTTGGACTGTCAGTGCCAAAAAGATGGAGCCCTTTTCACAAGCCCTACACGACTTACTTTGCAAAATAAATTTATAAAAAATAAACTAATTACTTAACCAATTTAAACTATAAATATTCTTGAATTGAATGAACTAATATAATCTTTCTGAATCAACCTGAAATCTCAACATTTAAGCAAATGAGATATCCTGCATAATTTATGCATGCATTTAGAAGAAAACTCTTTTAAATATTAAAACTTTAAAAAATATTACAGGAAACAGACCATGTCCTCGTTAGGGGGTCGCAAAACCAGTCCCTTTTGCCAAAACCGGTATTTTCGATATTGAAGTTTACGAATACCGGAATCCCGATATTTTCCATATTTAGAGAATTTTTAGTCGAGATTCGAAATTAGAGGTGAGTATTTATTAACGAAATAAAAACATTCAGTCATGTAAATGTTTGGCTAAGTACAGTACAGACAAACTGGGACATTCAACCTAGGACAAAATATCTCGGGAATCAATTATGGGGTGAATGTAAATTATTAAAATTGTTATCACAAAATAGAAGTAGCTTAATTTTTCTGAGTCTTAAACTTAAGGTATTTGATTATCAAAATACGGATTTACTCATATTTTTAAATGAGTATGTTTTTAGGCATAATTAAAAGAAATCAATCAATCAAATATTTCTGTTATAAAAAGTTTGAGTGCAACGTGTTATCATTTCCATATAATTCATGTTACAAACAAACTCTTAATGTAAGTCAACATTCGATCTTCATTCAACTATACCTATTACTTATTTGTCAATAACATGAAGACATTCCTGTACCTTCACGTCGCGACTCGTCTGCACTTACACACTACACACGCACGATATATAAACAAAACTAATCATAACGCCATAATTCGTTACAAATGAACAGTACACAGATCTAGTTTGTCATTTGGCTCTCTTTGAACTTGATACACGTGGTATGAGGGGTCCCCACTTCGCACATCACGTAAATTATTGCCATGTCTTGCTTTAACTATGACATGGAAACTAAAAAAAAACGAAACATATTTTTGAAAATGAAATCCCGGTAATTTCTAAAATTCTGGTTTTCATAAATCCAATCCCGGGATATTTGAGCATCCGTTATGGTCTGGTTTTCAGGATCCCAGATTGCAACCCTTAGTCCTGATTAGATCTTAAAGATGTTAACACTGTGAAATATGAATGTTCAAACATTGTTCTGGTGTTCACAGTATGTTGAACAAGAGACTTAACAAAATCTCTAATATAAATTATAAAGTTCGGGGGCCCAAAATGTAGTTTTTTCCTATATGAGCTATATAAAAATAATTAGCAACAAATACTCCTACATGAATGGATGGATCTTGACCAAACTTATTACACATACACATGATCATCCATATTCAAATACCATCATAATATCCATTTCTCTGGCCCCAGTTCATTTTTCCTTATATAAGCTATATGAATATCAATAGGGTTAGACAACAGTGTAGGTTCTATGTGAATTTGTGGATCTAGCCTAACTTTGTTCATTACGCTTCTTAGTCCATATTTAAATATTGGTGGATTTAAAACCAATAATATCCAATCTAGAATTTTCCAGAAAGTTCGATCATTTTAAAAAGCTTTATCTATGGCATTATTTAACCGATTTTAATCAAAGAAATTTTAAATTTTAACTTTATTATTTATCTGTCTGATTTTTATAGGGCCCCTATCTCAGGCATAACTAAATCAGTACAGTTATGGTTCTGGTTGTGTTCACTGCTGCATCCATGTACTGGCATCTGTGCAACTGTTGGGGGTATGATGTTGCTATTCTAACAGCTCCTAGCTGATGCCAGGGCAGCCTTGAAGCTTTCGACCGATGTCGAGTTCACAGTGGCATTGTCCAGGTGGTTCCATGCTATTACTGTGTGTGGGAAGAAAGATTGTTTATACTGCACTGTGTTGCACTGAGGCACTTTAAAGCATTTGCTTTTGTTTCAGGTGTAATTGTTTATGGGATTGTTAGTGGTGAAGTCAGTGTTCAGTGAGCGTTTTGCTCTGATCAGTCTACCCGGCTTCTGTGGGGTGAGATACGTGTCTGCTGGGATGGCCGGCACCAGTCCCATGATCACTTTATATAAGAATATCAGGGGGGGTCCTTTTTGTCTGTCTTTGGGGGGGGGGGGGGATGTCAAATATTGTTAAGAGGCCAGAAGTGGTGGATTCGTAGTCTCGAGCGATAAAACGCAACGTGTTACGTTGAATTCGCTCCATCTTGTCCACGTCTTGCTTAAGGTGTGGGTCCAAGAGTATCGCACCATATTCCAGTAGTGGACGGACGAGTGCAAGGTAGGCATTTCGTTTGCAGGAAGCTGCTGATGAACCTAGTTGGTGGAGTTATGGATTGGGCAGGTTCCACTCTTTCAATTAAGATGTACTCTAGTTGTAGTATTGCATTTAGTTGTATATTTCATATTAGAAAAATATTTACCTAGAATATTCATTTTTTACACATTTCGCGGAAGATATTAAATTTAATCTAGAATGTTCCAGAAGGTTCCATATTGCTCTACAAGGATATATAATGGGATCTAAAAGCTTTTTATAACAAAATCGCACTGAGCATGATCCCATAGAGGAACAAAACCCATCAGGATCACACCAGGAAATGGGACTGCACCGAAATTGGGGTCCTAATGCAATCCCGGGCCACGTCGGCTATATCGGCTAGTGTTACATAAATGCAGCTACAAAAAGTGGCACATTGCCACATATATATTAAAAAGGTGTTTAATTATAAATTTAAATTAATTGTTTAATGATGTAATATTTTGATGCTTAGCCAACTTACTGTGTGTCTTTAAACTCTTGAGTCTAGTGCTATTATTAGTATTATAATTTAGTTAATATAGGTAATTATTTAATATTTCTAATAAAATATTTAATAAAAGAAATGAATTTTCATAAACAGAAATTTACTTATTTTAGAGTTGTTTTTTGTTTTTAGTAATTATAGTATGCATTCAATTTTTTTTTAAAACTTCTATTTACCTTTTAGAAATATGTGAATGGGTTTAAAATTTAACTGAATTATATATTTGATTAAACTACAATAAACATGATAGAAAGATGAACTTGGTGTTTTTGCATAACTTATAGCTTATAGTTAGCCATTTAAAATGAGGTATCTGAAAAATGAGGTATATGGCATTCTGAAAATATTAAAAATTTCTGTCTAAGTTTAAAAATATAATAATAAAACCGAGAATACAGTTTGATACGAGTTTTACTAAATAAAGCCACATATTATAATTTGGTTATTGTAAATATTTCCCAAAACTTATTTTTAATCTTTATACTTTTCCTTATAAAAAAAAAAATGTATAAAGTATGATTCCTAGACACTTATTTTTATTTCAGTAATTAATTTTTTAAAATATATATATTTTAAATTTCCCAATAATAATAATAATAATAATAATAATATTATTATTTAGATATTAACTTTAACTTTTCTGTGGAACTGTTTAACAATTAGAAGTATTAGCAAATAACGCAGGGATTAATTGATTTATTTAGTTAAAAATGACGATTACACTTTTTATTTTCCATTTTATGTATATGAATATCTATGTAAAGTCCTACATAAATATGACAAAACATTCGTATGATATCATTTATTTAAGTAAATGGCTTCAGGTAAGATCAAGTTATTTTAATTTTTCTTTAGTAATAACTTAAGTAATTCTTGGATTATTGTTCTTTGAGAATATTGCTTGTGGTGTGACTGCTTCCATTTCCAGACAGTGCACAAAATATAATTCCTGATAACTGCGCTCAATATTTTTTTAAAATAGCATAACTGTGTTTGGTAAGTAATATTTTCTTTTCGGTAAATGAAATCGTCTCAATTTAACTATGATGTAAGAAATATTCTGTTCAAAAGTGGTTGGGACATCAAAATATTAATATAGTTAATGGGGTGAAACAAAAAGTGTGCCGTGACGTATCATGGATAGAAGGGGTGTGGCAATTGGGATTCTTAAAATCAGTTTACTTGAGTTCATGTTTTGTCAAGTAACTTTAGTAGATGGGAAGTTCACACATTGCTGTCACAAATGTTTGGCAAGCTATAACTAGTTATATAATAATTCTCTTGAGGAAAATTGTTATATGTGATTAAATATAGGACATTTCAATTCCAAAGGCGGCAAAGGTAAGTGAATATTTTTATATTTTCAGCTGTTTAGTTTATGCCTGAAGGATCAAAATATTCATTAAAATATTCAATATATTAATAGGTCCTACAAATAAGTTGGGGTGGGGCTAGGCTTATACTACTCTAGGCCTATAGTTATAGGCTCTCTATTTATAACTAATATAATTATAAATATATATTTATTATAATAATGATTTTAGGCTAATATACAGTGATACCTCGAGATACGAATTTAATTTGTTCCGTAACCTTGCTCGTAAGTCAATTTGCTCGTATCTCAAAACAATTTTCCCCATTGAAATTAATTGAAATGCCATTAATCCATTCCAGCCCCCCAAATGTCACCCCAGTTTTTTTGTTACGTGTTTTTGAATAAGAAAAATGTATTTTTAAATGAACAATATTGTATAAAAACATAATAAAAGAGAATGTAAAATATTAAACTGGTTTTATAAAGTGCCCTGCGTTAAGGTATCTCCTTCAAGCTGCTTCTCCGTCACCCACACCATCAGGAGTTTCTCCATCTTTTCATGGAGAGAGGTCCGGAACTTAGAAATTATTGTAACGCCCTTAACTGGCATTATACCCTTTATCGACTCCTTCTGATTAAGCACAGCACATATTGTTGAAGTACTACGCTGTACTGCCTCGCCAAGTCAGTCACTCGCACACCTTGCTCATGTTTTTTTTATGATTTCACGCTTTAATTCAATAGACATCATCTTCTTCTGAGCACTGACCTTTCCATTCACTTTCTTCGGACCCATGGTTATAAAAAGGAATGTGATAAAGTACTGTAAATGCACAAAAAGCACAATTCGCAAGCACAACTTATCAAAGATGTTTCGACAGCAAGGCAAAAAAACACACTGACAATGTGAAACACACAAGGCACGACTGGTGTGTTCGTGTGCAGCCGGCCGACCCAGTTCCTAGTATCTCAAATTTTTCTTGTATTTTAAAGCAAGACATCGCTCGCTCTACAGCTCGTTTCACAAAAATCTGGTATGTCAAGGTACCTCTGTATTAACTTTATTAAGGGCTATTTATACCACTCTACAAATCAATACCCATAAATAAAAGTAAAAGCATCAAATCATATTAAAAATATGTAGTTGTGTTATTAAATTATTATTATTTTTTTTAAATGAGTAGTTTTGTAAAAATTCTAAGTAATCTAAGTATTCTAAGTCTTAAGAATAACTAGACTTAGAATCATAATCATATTAATTAATTAATGATATTTGGGCTAGGCCATATTTCAATTTGAATGTTTAGGCCTATAATTATTTACAGTACAGTTTGCACCTACTTGGTAATCATCAAGTTCATCCTCCGTGAAGACACTCTGGGTTCCTCCCATTGTGAATGATTGTTGATAAAATTAATTGAATCTGATTCTATGTCTGTCTATATGAATATGACTGATTGAGAATTTGCAGAGTGCAGCATAGGGCATAGACTAAACTTGTGGCTCAAGCTCCAAAGCCAAAGCAGGACCTCTGTCTACTTGTAGTTATGCTAACTTACTAAACTTAGTAGCCCCTAGTCTAGTCCTAGCCTACTAGACAACACTTTAAAAAAAAAAATTAAATCAATAATAAATACAATAAACAATGTTTTTATTATAGACTAAGTTGAGCTAAGCCTACGTTCAACGTTCACTTTTATGATTTATGACGTTTTGTCTTGTCAAGACTACACTATACGACGTGATACTTGAAAATGTATTGGGCCTAGCGCCAAGTAGTAAGGAAATAAAACTCATAACGTTATGTATCTTGTCCTGCAAATGACAACCATAGATATATTTACTAATGAAAATGTGGGAAGATCCGATCACATCATTTGACGTCGAGCGAGACCAGCGGTTCTCAATTTTTTAATGCAACGACCCCAAAACATAATTATTTATATTACCGTATTTATCGGCGTATAACCCGCACTTTTTCACCCTGAAAATATGGGGCAAATGATGTGTGCGTGTTATACGCCGATATAATGTTAAGGACCCATAGTACAAACCGCATAGCGGCGCGAATGGTGCGTATTGTATGTCTGTGCGTGTTATACGTCGATAAATACGGTTATTGACTGAACAAAGTGTTGACAAAAGAACGGTTGTAGGAAGGGGCAGGGGTTGAATGTTATTAAGTTATCACTATTTTAAAATTACATGGTTTTTGGAATTTTCTAATACTAAGCATGACCTGGCCACGACCTACGTGGTGTACTCTGGGTCTAGTGGGTTATGCATGACCTGGCTCAATCGCCAGACCCATCTGCTCATTTTTTTCGCTCAAGAACTTTGCTCCCCCCATATAATGGCACCCTTCCATTAGCTACTCGATCAAATGGCTTATGAGGTATATAGGAGACTACTTTTAGTAGGTAGGCCTATAGAGTATGGCAAGGACGATAACCTATCCTTAAAATTCCGTAATAATTTAATATTTTCCGTAAATATATTTTTTTCTTATATGAAGCTGAACAGAACGGACAATCTAAGCGTTTCTGATTTCTTCTTGCTAGTTTTAAACGGATATTATAATCCTCATCAGTGGAATTAAAATTCCCTTCAACAAAATGACATATATTACTCCATGAGAGGACTCATCTGATGAGTTATAAGGGGTACTTGATAGAGACATGATCATATAGTAATATGCCATGGATAATTTGTTTCTCCATAGTTTCAGGTAATTTATATTAAAAAATATATCAGTCAAAAATATGTTTTTCAATAATAAAAAAAACAACAGATTTAAATAATTTGACAATATATTTTATTATATTAAGTTGGTAACCTTAACACTGATATATATAGAGGCATGCATTATTGCCAGATGTATTACTGACACCGACATCTAGTTTTCAGAGTGTGATCAAATTATTTAAGTTTTTGAATCTAGAAAATGAAGAATAAAACTTTAACAAAGTAATTTAAATAACTTAGTGAGATTTAACACATATAAAAATTATGTTATATTTTAAGTGTACATTTTATTTAATTTACAGTTTATATTTCTTAATTTTTTAATATTATTTTACGTTTATGTTAGTGTAAGGGCACCAACATCGTTTAAGTGCTGAGGGCATCTAAAGAAAAGTCATTTAACTTTAGTGATCCGGCCCTGATTATGACTTATCTTATTTTCATTATTTAAGCAAAATTATTTAACAAATCGACTTGAAATAGCCTATGATTTTAAAAAAAAATATTATATTTTGGTATTTTAAAAAAAATCAAATGATTTTAATTTTTACTTTTAAATGTGTATTTTAAAATGAAAAATTAAAAGCTACAAAATTTCGACCGGTGGAAGCTACCTACCAACCATCGTTAAAGTTTAGTTAGAGACAATATTAAAAAAATCCACAAAATTTTACAAAAAACTCTATTATCTCTATATATATTTCGCCAGCAAAGGTCAAACAAGACGGGTCAAACACCACGCAGGCTACTTATAGATACGCCAGTGTGGTTCAATAATGAGTTCATTAGCGCGTAAAATATAATTCCCGATAACTACGCTAAATGATATATATATATATATATATATTAATAACGCAATTGCGTTTGGCGCGTAATATTTTCTTTTCGGAAATGAAATCGTCTCAATTTCAGAATTGTGTACAAAATATTTGGTTTAAACGTGGTTGGGACATGAGAATATTAATATAGTTTGGACAACTGTGTCTTTCACGAAGTCTTCCCTCATCTATGAGCAATTCTGCGACGTATGCTACGCCGCGGGTCGTCTAGTATTATATATTTCATTTCAATGAGCTTCTGAAATCTACTGATTATAATTTTAATTATAAAATCATTGTTTTTTTTAAAACTTCTGTGCAGTTTCAAAGTGTTGACAATAAGTATAAAAAACTAGCCCGATCACTAAAGTAATATTTTAATATGGAAGAAAAATTATAGAAAAAATACTAAAACAACAACAAACAAAAATCACCAATAACCCCATGGCATATTGTTAGGCGACCTCCCTTAGGATTTCAACTTGAGAACCACTGAGATTGGTGAATAAAATTTAAAAAAAAATGTATTCATATCCGGGTCGGGCTTTATTTACTGTTTAATTGTGTTTGATTCGTCACTATTTTGTGTTAAGAATGAGATTCAGTTCACATCTAAATTTCGTTACTTTTGAGGATAGATAAATTGTCTTTTTTGTTGTTGTTTTTAACTAGGTATGCATAGGCATAGTGACAAAGGCCTACGGATGCTGCTACATTTTTAACGGCAAACTCATTTTTGTTTTCTTTGCTATTTCCGAAAACATATTTTTTATCAACTGAAAATTTCATGAATCGTTGCAATGAATATGTAATCGTGTTTGTGCGATTTGAAATATGCCTATTGTATTTTTAGGCCAAAAAAAAAAAAAACTTTTTAGAACTGAACTGCATATATATTTGAAGCATTTGTTTAAAATAGCTTTTTTCTTAGTAAATAAAATGGTGCAAAAATTTACTTCCACAATTTACGATGGCCTTGCCTTATATCTTGTATTCTTGTTAAAATATTTAAATTAAATTTTACAAATATTATTGAGAAGTCGAATACCATAAACACAACAGATACGCTTCCTACTCATACTCCCTAGTCGTAACATTTTGATACATGTGTAACACATTGACATTGTGTTATAAAATCATATTGAAAGAAATGTGTACTTAAATTTTACTTTGATCACTTACACATTTTTTGTTATTGTCTGAAATTGAAAGTAATGGCACGATTTGAAAAGAAGTTCGTTGAATTAATTTTAAACTGTGTAAGTTGACCTATTGTAGGTAGTCCAGGTAGACGTGACGTAATAATTATGCCAAATAATTAATAATCTAATGAATAATGATAGGTAAATTTGGATAGATGTCACCACATGGCCTCCATCTTGGTTGACCACGACCAGTTAATTTGGTCACTAAACCTAAATTAAATGTATCTCTAAACCTAAATTAAATGTATCCCTAAACTAAATGTAGGCCTATCCCTAAATTCTAACCTGAACGGAACCCTAAAACTAAATGTATCCCTAAACCTAACCTGAACCCTAAATTTATCCCTAAACTTAGCCTAACCTGAACCCTAAATGTATCCCTCAACCTAACCTGAACCCTAATTCACTGCAACTATAATAAACAAATGAAGTCATGATGACATCTCGCCAAATTAGCCAATTTACAAAATACCAATACCAAAATTCCACTGTCTCTATTTCAACTTAATAACCGAACTTACGTTTACAATTACTATTACTAGACACTACGAATCAATGTCTTTACATTTATCATTTATAATTTAAGTACTGGTACTTAATAATAATACAACTAATTTAATATTTAAACTATAACTTTACTTAGACAAGACTTTAAGAGTTACTAGTCAGAGTGCCTAATTGAGAGTAATTGAAATTGTCTACTTAGACTAGATGCATTTTGCGGATGTGTTTTTAATTTTAAAAAAGTAGCAAAAAACTGTGTTTTTCTTTGAAAATATTGTTGCTGCTCCTTTGGGGATAAAAACTACTCATACTCATTAGCCAGATAGAGTTACAGATGCTGGATGCTCCGTGTGTAAAGATTTAGCTTGTTATTGTTTATTCCTGCAAATCCTGATGCATAGAAATCTATAAACCGTTATGTCGACAGCCCAGGGGTTTGCCAATAAGCGTCAACCAATAATTGAATCATCAAGATAAACGAAAACCAATATGGCCGCGATATATTAAATTTGCTTGAAATTTCTTAATGTACATGATGTGAGTTAATAAATGAAAACGAGTCTAATACACTAAATAAAGACTAAATTTTAGGCTATGCCCAATTTAATAAATAATAATTAATAGGCTATAGGGCCTAAGCTTAATATTTTTTATATTATATAATATGTTTAGGTCACATTATTAGATTTAGACTGACTGATTAGACTGTAATTATTAATATAAATACTTTATTTGGGAAGTACTCATTTTAGTATTAGTTTTAGGACAGCTTGCTTAGGGCCATACTTAGTAGACCTACTTTCTATTAACGAATGTTATAAAAATGTAAGTTATATTTATAAAAATAGGTGTATAACAGGGGTCTCAACCTCAAATCATCGGGGTGCCACAGGAGGTAGAGTCTAAGTGAGACTGGGCCCCATCAAGTATTCCACAAAAAAGATTACAAATTCAATAAAGTACAACTGTTACAATCTGCTTTACCTTTATTAATTACAAATAAAAACAATAAGGGTTCTTAAGAACTAGTCTTCACTTTCTTACTCCTACTCCTTGTTGTCAGAGACCTGGCTGCCCTTCTTCTTAAATAGCTGAGCAACATTTGGCTTGAGGGAGGAAGCAACTGAGACCTTCAGTATAGCTTGAAGATGCTCATCAGTAAGTTTGGCCCTGAGCTTTAACTTTTTAAAGCTCATAGTGGAAAAGATCTTTTCACACAGATAGGTACTTCCAAAAAATGCTCATGATCATCTTGAACAACCTGGAAATCTCAGGGAAGGGGAAGTGCAATGCTCTTATAAATTGTCCATACCTCAACTTGCACTAAAGGTCAATCTACTCTATTTGAAGCACAAAAAAAGTGTGTGTGTGGGGGGGGGG